GAATTCGGTAACGCAGCTGCTGCCGTCCGTGGCGTCCTCGACTAGTTGGCTCGAGACTGCTTGGTTGAAGTGCATCGTTTGACAAGCTGTCTATGGACTCCACGACAAAGCTTGCCCTCGCAGCTAAATGGAACTCTCGTCGTCTGCTCAAGTTGTGGGCTGGACACGTGCATGGACACGAAACACACAGGCTGTACACACATCGCGGAAGTACTAGTCTCCCAGGGTAACTGGAACATCGCAAACGAGCGCTCACAAACTGCGATGCTCGGTCATTCGAGGCTCGTTGTATTGGGCCAAACCTCTGTATATCCACAATCCAAAACCACCAGCTTCTGCACCACACAACACGTGACGAGTTGTACGTGCAGCTGTCGCTGACGCCGCTCGAAAGTGATGTGAGTGCGTCACAAATGCAATTGGTGTAGCTATCTCCAAGCTTCACAGACGATATTTATGGCCTGAACCATTGCACTGTTACATAGTTTGCTCAGTGTGGTCTTACGAGAGAGCGAGCGTCGGTATCCAATTCTTCACGTGTGCACCAATTGCGTTCAAACCTCGGAGGTAAAGTTGGGTGCAGGAAGAAAGCGTCGGAAAAGGGAATTAGTCCAAAGAAATATTTGTGTTATGTCTTTGGCACTCTACTCAATATCAGTATGCAAGAATTATTTTTTGCGAAATGAAAATATTCTAAAAAGTGAAGTGATTTGGTCAGGAGTGACCATTTGGGTGGCATAATACTTTGTATTTGTATCCTGAAAAAACTGAATAAAAATATTTCATCTCCCCTTTGGTCTCTGCAACATTTTTTATCCATATCATGCATAACACTTCAGCTCATATTAAACCTGTATAGGCTAAAAAACTGTCAAAGTTGACAGTAGTCACTATCTGTCTTCCTCATGACCCCGCATGCATCCAAAACGTCCAGGGCAACCTGACGATGTGATTGCGCGTGGAGGACTTGGTCATGATTTTGCGTTGGGCCAACATCGCCGCCAACCGAGGCTCTCAAAAATTCTTTTTTTTTGGAGCGATGGGCTTCCCAGCTGTACCGAGGGGGTCCGCCCTGTTTGCATGTACGCGCCTGGCTGAAGAACTTCCCCGCAGACGTTCCAGATGAATGGATTCAGTGGAGGCGATTCCACCTCGAGTGGCAATCGTCACAACGTGGGGTAATCGACCTACCTCAAAGTACGCTATCGTAAGTCACCAATGCTCAGAGTTACACCCCCACCTGCAGCCCCAGTCATTCTAGCCGCACCCCAACTGTTATCACACACGATTCCGAGCAAGGTAATTATATGAAACCAAATTCGACATTATGAAGTACCTTGGTGTTGTAGACACTGTCGTCCTCGGCAACAATACCTGCTAGTTTAGTTCAAGGGGCACAACTTACCACGTGTATTGCGACCGAGCGCGGCGCCAGCACCAGCACTGCGCCTTGGGCATTGTTAGTAAAGTTTGTCGGGCAACGGAGATACCAGAAAACTCCTCGAAAACTTCCCATTCACTCAAAAAGTTGCCAAAGCGTTCAAAGCAAATAGCCGGGCAAACGTTGTGATGTGGGTAACTAGGTCTCCCATTTCAACCTCGGCGCAAGGTTAGTCATCGCCGTTCACACAATTTTCATCCATCTTGTCGTAATTGCTGGGTTTGCAATGTCTACCATTTGGATTGGGACCCACCGGGCAATACAATGCATACCCTTGCAAAAACTTTAGTGGAAGAGTCAGTAGCGAAAGGAATAGCCACTACTCATTTGGACATGCTGGCCAGTAAGATCGACTTCTCCACCAATGCTAACCAATTGCTAGGTGCCACTCCCTTCCCCATTGCACTCCATCAAGTGGTGCAAACATTGCACCAAGACCAATTCCCCTCGCAAGAACAGCCTCCACATACCATAACAATTTCAAGAAAACGAGCCAAGCTCCCGAAAACACTGGAGGAGTTCGTCCACGTCGCTCATAGGACCTGTTCGGTGGGTAAATCTGGAAAAATTCAACTCACATCATGACTAGCTCGTGCATGTCAATGGTCACCGCCCAGACAAATCGTTCGTTGGCATCGAACGACCTCGAGAGCAATACTTTGCGACGGGATCGAAGCATGAACGCGCGGCGCAAACAATGCAAGCCTTGTTCGACAAGCCTCGCAATGCACAGAAGTCTTGGATGCTCTTGAACACTTGCCAATCCTCGAATTAATTCAGGTATGCTTCTATTCACTCATAAGTGCAGCATACTCGAAAATTAGTAGCAGAGATGACGAATTGTCCCGTTTCGGACTGGGCAAAGCGTCCAGCCTGGTTGGCACCTACATTCAACTGGAGCCCGCCGCAGTCCATGTCCATGACGAAGATGCTGCAACTTTGTCACTTTTGTCTGGAGCAAATATTCACCCCAAACTACTGCGGACCGGTCCAATATTTTTATGGACGCATAGTTTTCGAGATGCCTTAACTACTCCAGTATGTTCATTCTTTAACTGTTTAAAGCTCTCTTTGGCCGCCTTCCGTGTTGATCGTCAAAAGCACGTAATTCCTTCCAAGACCAGAAAAACATACACACATAAATATATTGCGTTTTAATATTTCTGGGAAACGTACAGTTCACGTGCAGAATAATTGTCCTCCAACGGATGAAATTGCTGGTTTCGGCTCAAGAACTGCAGCACTTCAAATGATACCTAAGCGAGAGGTCCTCCAGTTGTCAGTTCGATGCGTTCCTGCCTTCCGCAATGCTGCATGTACAGTGGAAACGCTTGCATTCTAACTCCAAGGAATTGTCCACTGTCCAAGTTGTGCTAATTTAGGGCACGTTGGATGCCCATGCTACTTCCTCAAATTGTTGGGCCTACTGTGATTTTGGCTGACAATCTTTGACTGTAATGTGTTTGTGGCGTTGCATGATATGGTGTCGTCAGAATTGTTTAGCGTTTTGGAACCGTTGTCCAAGAATTCGACAAGTGTTCTCCAATCTTTGTAAAATGGTGTTATGGGGCCATTGAAGGCAAGCTTCGTTACAAGTGGCTTCGCGAAAAGCCGGCAGTGTCTGCAGGCGAAAAACGCATGGCTGTGGTTAAGCACGCTATTGAAACCTGGGAGGACATGTCATGTGAAATCATCACATGTTCATTGAAAATGCGTTGCCACGGACTCTTGTACTACTCTGGTCCATAACAATCGCTACGGTTGTGTTCTGATTGGCGGCATTTTTCATAAAATACTCCTATCGAACAGCCGATTGGCTCGTTAGACAGAGCACAATCTCGGCTTTCATTGGCTGTATTTTGGAGGTTCCAAATCGTTTTAGCGAGGGAGATGTGTCTCTCGAAA